CCCTCCCCGGCGGCGAGGGGTCCCGCCAACATGGGCGTCTTGTGCCTCCTCCCAGCAGCGGCACGCCCAAGGCCTGTCCCTGAGAGGGGTGGGGAGGGGGGTGAGGATGGGGAGGGCTGGGGAAAAAGGGACGGGGGTGTCCCTGAGAGGGCTGGGGAGGGGCAGAGCTGGGGAAGGGTGGGGGGAGGGACAGAGGGACGGGGGCCGCATGACACTGGGCCCCTGGCTCTCTGTGCCCTGGCCCAGGCACACGGGGCCATTGCAACTGGGATGTGACTCTGCCCGAGCCTGAGCCAGTCCCGGCCCCGGCCCCGGCAGCCACTGAGCAGCGGGTCACAAGTGGCCTCCCCGCCCTGCTCTGCCACCACAGAGAGAACCTGGCCCATGGAGCCCACCGCCCCTGCCTCAGTTTCCCCAGGGATAAAGTGAATTTCTCCTTATTCCGATTGCTGTCTCTGGAGGCCGAGGCCCCGTCGTGAGCAAACAGCCCCGTTGCTCCCAGCCTGAGCCAGGAGTTTGCAAACTTTGACCCACCCGTCGGCGTGAGAAGATCCAAAGGGGGTGAAGTGACTTTTAAGGGCAAGTCTTTGCAGGGTCTGTGTCAGGTCCTGGCAAAGGCCGTGAGCGAGTGAGACAAACCCGCTGGGGTCTGAGGGGCGGGAGGGGATGCGGAGGGAACGGTAAATCTCACCCACAGCTTGTCCCTCCTGGGACGGTCACGGGGCTGTGGGGATGTCGGGTCCAGGGCCGGGAGGTACCAGAGTGAGAGAGGAAACAGGAGATTTCAGCCCTTGTCATATGAGTGTGTGTCTGTGACGTGACAACCCAGCTCTGGGCTCCCCGTGCAAACCTGAATCTCCCCTCTCCTTCCCCAGACACTCTGCCGGCCGCACTGGGGACACAAAGCGGGGACCCCCTTGGAGCACACAGACCAGGTGAGCTGCCTCGGGCCTCATCCCCCCCCAGAGCCAGGACTGCTGGCCACTGCCAGGGCAGGAATCGGGCAGGCTGCTTAGCACCACTGGCCAGGAGCCAGCCATGGAAACAAGAGCCACAAACTGCCCCCTCCCCAGCCTCCTTTAGCACAGGGGCTGCTTCCTGCCCCCAGAGGACAGGCAGAAGCAGGGGATGGGCAGGGACAGAACTAACAGCCGGGCTGAGGACAGGCAGAATTGGGGGTTCACTACGCAGGAATCCAGGGCCTGTACTCATAGGCTATGTCTACACTGGCAGGTTATTGTGCAAGAACATCTTGTGCAAGGGTTCTTGTGCAAGAAGTCTTGCACAGGAACATGTCCACGCTGCCATGTGTGAGCTGTGCTTTTGCACAAGAGCAACCATGGCCGTGTGGGAGCTCTCTTGCACAAGAAAGCTCCCATGGCCATTTTAGCCATAGGGCTTTCTTGCACAAGAAACCCCTGACGCGTGTCCACACTGCTGTCTTGCGCTAGAGGGCTTACACCTGTTAGAAAAGAGCGTAGCTCTTCCGCACAAAGCCCTCTCTTCCCACGCCGTCCTGTAACTCTTCTTGCGCAAGAGCGGGCGGGCAGTGTGGATGCTCTGCAGAAGAACGGCCGTTCTTGCGCGATAGCTCACCAGTGTCGACATAGCCATAGGTTATCCTGTAAACTCAGGGGCTGTACCAAGCGTTTCCACTGTCTATAATATTCTGGCTTCTTCTTCCTTTCTCTTATCTGACACACTAACGACGTCCCTCCCTTCTTGTCCTGTACCGCGTTTTGTAAAAAGCTGACTTGCCAGCTAAGATGGATGCAAATGAATCAGCGCTCAGAATGGCAGAAATCTGAAGCGTGTACAAAATGGAGTAACACAGGATTTACAAAGCCTCCTCAAACGTCTGATTCATTGAGTTCTCTCATGGTTCTGAGGATGCCTCTGCCACCCCTTTGCACATGTCCATATTGCATCTAGTCACTTCTCTATGCAGATGGGGGAAACACGCCGTTCTACCCACTGACAATCAGCTTATGTCCCTGGCGCGTCTGTTTTGACACCAGTAGCACTTATACATAGATCTGACCACTAATAACACAGTTGTGTTTTGTAGGTTTAGCATGTAACCCACCTTCAGGAAGTTGAAGGCTGCTACCAAATCCCCCCTCGCTCTTCGCTTCTGCAGACTAAACAGACCCAAATCCCTCAGTCTCTCCTCACAGGTCATGTGCTCCAGCCCCCTAATCATTTTGGTTGCCTTCCGCTGGACCCTCTCCAATGCGTCCACATCCTTTCTATAGTGGGGGCCCCAGAACTGGACACAATACTCCAGATGTGGCCTCACCAGAGCCGAATAAAGGGGAATAATCACTTCTCTAGATCTGCTGGCAATGCTCCTTCTAATGCACCTAATATGCCAGTAGCCTTCTTGGCTACAGGGGCGCATTGTTGACTCATATCCATCTGGAGCATTTGCTTTGACGCTAGTAGAACTTATAGATAGTTTTGACCACTAATAACACAGCTGTGTTTGTAGCTTTAACATGGAAAGCCTCTGTGTCTAAGCAGTGCATGGTTTTGTAGTGCATGCTGTGTCTTTCTCTGCCACGCACAGCCTAATATTTACATTCCTGTTTCTAATAAAAATCTCCAAACTTTTTTTTTAGTTGCTGACAGTCCAGCTCATTCCCCTCCACCACCTCCAGATAAGATGCCGATGTTTGGTGCTTCTCCTCCTCCTTCCATTCCCACGCCCCCTCCTGTGGATTATGATGAGGAAGAAGCTGCAATAGGGCAGCACAATGATTCTTATGCAGATGGGGACCCTGTTTGGGAACCTAAAAGCTATGTTGAGAATGGTAAGAGAAGAACCATTTCAGGCACATGGGGCTGGACGAAAGGAATCCAAAATCTCCCTACTCGATCCAAACTTAGAATCCTAGAGCTGGAAGAGACTCAGGAGTCATCAAGTCCAGCCCCCTGCCCAAGGCAGGACCGATCTCAATTAAATCAACCCAGCCAGGGTGGTGTCAAGCCAAAACTTAAACACCTCTAGGGATGGAGATTCCACCACCTCTTTAGGGAACCCATCCCCATGCTTCCCCACCCTCCCAGGGAAATAGTTTTTCCAAATATCCAACCTAGACCTCCCCCACTGCAACTTGAGCCCATTGCTCCTTGTTCTGCCATCTGTCACTACTGAGAACAGCCTCTCTCCATCCTCTTTGGAACCCACCTTCAGGAAGTTGAAGGCTGCTACCAAATCCCCCCTCGCTCTTCGCTTCTGCAGACTAAACAGACCCAAATCCCTCAGTCTCTCCTCACAGGTCATGTGCTCCAGCCCCCTAATCATTTTGGTTGCCTTCCGCTGGACCCTCTCCAATGCGTCCACATCCTTTCTATAGTGGGGGCCCCAGAACTGGACACAATACTCCAGATGTGGCCTCACCAGAGCCGAATAAAGGGGAATAATCACTTCTCTAGATCTGCTGGCAATGCTCCTTCTAATGCACCTAATATGCCAGTAGCCTTCTTGGCTACAGGGGCGCATTGTTGACTCATATCCATCTGGAGCATTTGCTTTGACGCTAGTAGAACTTATAGATAGTTTTGACCACTAATAACACAGCTGTGTTTGTAGCTTTAACATGGAAAGCCTCTGTGTCTAAGCAGTGCATGGTTTTGTAGTGCATGCAGTGTCTTTCTCTACAAGGTTTACATTCCTGTTTCTAATGCAAATCTCCAAATATTTTTTTAGCTGCTGACAGTCCAACTCTTCCCTCGGCACCACTTCCAGACGAGATGCTGATGCTTGGTGCTTCTTCTCCTCCTTCCACTCCCTCTCCCCCTCCTGTGGATTATGAGGAGGAGGAAGCTGCAGATGGAGACCCTGCCTGGGCACCTAAAAACTATATTGAGAAAGGTAAGAGATGAATCAGTTCGTGTAACTGCAAGTTAACTTGCAGGGTTGGACAAAAGGAATCTAAAATCTCCCTGCTCAATCCAAATTTAGGAAAGATGGGTTATAATCTGCCCAGTGGCTGTGTCCAGTGTAACAAATCCAGTCCTTGATGCCACATTAAATGATACACCAGCACTCTGAAGTGGATAAGTAATGCATTATAAGAAATAGCAGTACATTGGATTTCATTCATTTTGTTTGTTAAACAGACCAGCTATGGCTGTGTCAGCACTGCCAGAGATCTATCCAGAAATAACTAATTGAAAGACCAATGGAGCTTCAAACTTATGTTTTCTTCCTTGATGCTTAATAAGTGAGATAACGAAGGTGGCTTTTTAATAAAATGTTGTTTTGTTTGGTAAATGCCTTAGAGTATTTTGAATCTTGCTTGCATACAGAACTCCTTATGGAGCTCATAAGATTGGGAATGTTAATTAATTTTACAGAAAAAAACAAGCCATTTCCTAGCTGTAAGATTAGTCTGTGCTAAGAAAATATTTGTGACAACTCGTGCCAGCTACATGTTCCCTGTAGTCTGATGTTTAAAATGGTTTGACTGCCACTACAGAGAATAAAACAGTTTCAGAGTCATAAGGGTATGTCTAAACTTGTTTTCACTTTCAAAAAAAACCTTGAATCCATAAAATCATGGTTAAGGGTACGTCTAGACTACAGGCTTCTGTCAACAGAAGTTTTGTCGACAGATACTGTCTATGTCGACAAAACTTCCGTCGACATAGAGCGTCTAGACTACATCCAGTTCTGTCGACAAAGCAAGCCGTTTTGTCGACATGACAGTGTGGACGCAAAGGACAGTGTAGATGCAATAACACCTTCTGTCAACAGAACTCTGTCAACAAAAGGCGTTATTCCTCGTAGAATGAGGTTTACAGCCATCGAGAAAACTGTTGAGTGTAGACGCAGGTATAGTTTTGTCGACAAAAGTCCACTTTTGTTGACAAAACCCTGTAGTCTAGACACACCCTAAGGTTCAAAAGTCAAGCACCCAACGCTTTGGAAAGACCAGAATTAAGGCTGCATGTAGAACACTGATTTGGCCCTCTGGTATTTATGTCTTGTCTTCATTTACATAATTACATGCTTTTGCGCAAGAGGGCCAGTGTAGACAACGCAGTATTGTTTTGCGCAAAAAAGCCCTGATCACGAAAATGGCGATCAGGGCTTTCTTGCGCAAAACCTCATCTAGGTTGGCACGGACTCTTTTCCGCAATAAGTGCTTTTGCGCAAAAGCGTCTGTTTCAATCTAGACGCTCTTTTCCACAAATGCTTTTAACGGAAAAGCTTTTTCGTTAAAAGCATTTGCGGAAAATCATGCCAGTCTAGAAGTAGCCAGCATGTTTAAATATGAGCCAGAGACCAACACTGAAAACCCTGAGATGTCCGTACTAGTAATTTTAAAAATGAGACCTGCACTTCAAAATGTTGTCTCTTTGATGAAGGTGCACACCAGACTAACTTGTCTGACTCCTCCTTCCTAGTTGTTGCTCTATATGACTACACGAAGGACATGGATGATGAGCTATCATTTAAGAAAGGTGCAATCATTTATGTGACAAAGAAGAATGACAATGGGTGGTATGAAGGAGTTTGCAATCAAGAAACTGGCCTCTTCCCTGGGAATTATGTTGAATCCATCAAGCACTGTGCAGATTAAAATCGTTTGTTTTTGAAGTTGGATCTTGTATTCAATCATACCATGATTATTTACAAGAGGTAAATACAATTGTCTTAACAAACTTAAAAAAATGTGTCTATCTTTTCAGGCCATTCTGTTTTAATGGTGTGATTGAAGAATGTCCATCTCCATAAGCATAAATTTCTGGCGGCAGCTTGTCTTAACTGATAGTAGTTTGTAAAACAAGCATCTGTCTATTAATGGTTATGCCTATTTACTTGTGCATTGTTAATTTTATGACCAGCCTAAATATTCTTGGGAACCAGGGTATAATATTTACTGAACCACGATTCAAATTGTACCATTACATTTTTTCAGTGCCGCATGTTAACTAACTATGTTAAACTAACATATTAAAATCTGGGCGAAAAGTTTAATGTCCGTGCTGGTCATATTACTTTTTGTTAAACCTCTTGCTCATTCTTGAATTATAATTGTTTAAATCATGCGTGCAAACTTGTGTATTGAAATATATATTTTTTTAAATCCAAGATGCTTCCAATGCATTATAATCTTTATCTGGAGGATTCACTAAAGTCTATTATGATGAATCGCTTGCGTCTCTAAGGTGTCCATGTGAATAAAAAATAGGTGGTCTTATGTACGTGTAATTTGTACCAGGCTTTTTTTTTAATGAGTATATTTACATTACAACTTTTCCAGTCATAAATATATAAGTGGAACCAAAGGTCTTGTCCATTACTTTGTCAGCACTTCTAATTGTTTTGCCACGTAAGTCAGTTTGATTATGTTACTGCAAGCACCGTACTAAACTAAATACAAGTGTTATAGCCTTATTTAACATTGAGATTAGTGGGCAAACATATGCAAAACCTAAACATTAGCCACTTACCACAATCTTCTTTCAAAAGTAACTTGTGTAAAGGGTTGAAGTACTGCTAAAATGAAGTACTTGAAAAAGGATTCTCAGCTGAATGTTGAACTTGTAATTTAATAATTGGTTTCAGTTTGTTGCAACTGACATTGATAAATACAAATGATGCTAGATCAACAGGAGAGCAGCTGTGTTCAGAACTGATAATACACCAGCTAGGCAGTCAGAGCAGTTGTAGGGGAACAGACATAAACATCCTAATTATTATTGGAAAGTAACAAATACACTTTGCCTCTCCTCTGCATTATGGCACTCGGGAAAAAAGTCAAATGGGACGCTCACTTCATTTTGTACAAAACTGGAGTGCTTCACTTACCTGCGCACGTTATGCTGCATACTCTATTGTATGTACCAAGGATTTATTTTGGACTTCAAGGTGCTGTCCTAGTGGAGTGTTCAATATACACTTCTTAATAGAAGTGCTATAAAACTGGTAGTTGGAAGCTTGATTGGTCACTGCCTCATTTGTTTTCTAGTGAACATTAAGAAACATCAAAACTCCCTCAACTTCCTAAAAGACATTGTAACTTCCAAAGGCTTTCTGCTTTTTTAACTGTTAATCTCACTTTCTGAGACATTATCAACCAATAATTTATCTGTATTTTCTTTATAAATTGGAAAGTCTTCACTTAATGGCTACCTCTAGACTGGCATGATTTTCTGCAAATGCTTTTAACAGAAAAGTTTTTCCATTAAAAGCATTTGCGGAAAAGAGCATCTAGATTGTCACAGATGCTTTTCCGCAAAAGCACTTTTTGTGGAAAAGCGTCCGTGCCAATCTAGATGCGGTTTTGCGCAAGAAAGCCCCAATCGCCATTTTCGCCATTGGGGCTTTTTTGTGCAAAACAGTTTTTACCTGTCTACACTGGCCCTCTTGTGCAAAAACATTTCCAGAAAAGGGCTTTTACCTGAACAGGAACGTCAAAGCATTTGTGCAAGAAGCACTGATTTCGGACAGTAGAACGGCAGTGCTTTTGTGCAAAATCAAGCGGACAGTGTAGATAGCTGGCAAGCTTTTTTGTGCAAAAGCAGTTGCTTTTGCGGAAAAACTTGCCAGTCTAGACGCAGCCAATTTGTATTTAACTTGTTAAAGTTTATGTACAGTCTTTTATAATAAACCATTCTCCTACATAAAATGTTGGGTACTTCTGAAGTTTAACATCCAAAGTTTGGAAAGCAACCAGACTGTTTTCACAGTAAACATTAACATCAGCAGAAGAGAAGGCTTTTTGCGGTAGAGTTTTTTCTCTTCCCACAAGGAATAAGTCCTTTTAGTGCTTCAGCTCTTGTGCAAAAAGGCAGGTGTGGGTGCTCCGGAGGGGTTTTGCACAAGAAACCCCTATCGGCAAAAGCACAGGTGCTCTGATGGCCATTCTTACGCAAGAGTATCCATGCAGCGTGGATGCTCTCTTGCACAAAAGCACATCACTTTTGCCTTATGCTTTTGAGGTGTAGACGCGCTTTTGCACAAGAAGTTTTTGAGGAAGATCTCTTCTGCAAAAAGATTTTTGCACAAAAACCCTGCAGTTAGAAAGCCATAGAGAGTAAGGTTATGCCTGAGCCCAAAGATGGGTAACGGGGGTACCCCCAGGGAGTGTGAATGACAGAATTGTGTATGTGTAACAGTTCCAAGTGCTTAGTCAGAGATTTCTACCAGTTCAACAGTTTGTTTTTGTGTAAAACTTCTGCAGCAACCATGCACTGTTTGCATATTAATGTATGTATATTTAATTTAAATGATTTTACTAGATTATAGACCTTTATAATTTACCTTGGATTGTTACCATTTTAAAAATTGATTTTTTTAAAATAAATTGTTTTAAAAGTCCAAGTTAAAGAAGCTCTCTAGTTTAAAGTTTTCATTGCGATATCAATTCCAATTTTCATCCACCCTGCGTGTTGAATGTTTTCTTTAATCCCTCATTGCCAAAGGAAAACAGCCCATTGAGGGGTGAAATTCATAGATTTAATTTCCTTTGTCTCCCCCCGCTTGTTGAACCTTTCCCCTCCAGCAGCATCCTCTTTTGGGGAGACTAAATTATGGTAGGCCTGCATCAGGGGCATGCGGAATCCCCCTCTCTTCAGAAAAAGAGCAAGATGTAAATTTCAGCTTTGATTCACCCAGGAAATAATTTCCCTCCCCGCTCCCCTTGTAAGTATCTGGAACATCTGGATTTATCCTTCCCCTCTCCCCGTTGCTTTCTGATTTCTAAACACCAGACGTCATTTTGTTACGATTTCCCTCTGACATCTCAGAGAACGGGGGCAGAGCCCACAGCTCTGGAATGAACACGATTGCACAAGACGCTGCTCTCCGGTTACAAGGGCCAGGGAAATGACACGGAAGGCGCCGGTAACGGAGCCAGATGTCTTAATCGTGAGCTTCAGAGGAGCAGCCCAGTTAGTCTGTAACAGGAAAAACTTAAATATCAGAGGGGTTAGTCAGTTTCAGTGAGAACAAGGAAGAGTCCTGGGGCAGTGGAAAGACTAGTGCAGGCCTGGGGAACTTTTTCTGGGTCGGGGGCTGCTGACCCACGGAAAAATCAGTCAGCGGCCGCAGACAAGGGAGAAGCAAAGGGAGAAGCCCCTGAGTGAGGAGAAAGACACCCCCACATTTACCTGGCACACCAGAGCCTGGAGGGACCAGGTTAGTAGATTTTCTGAGCTCCAGCCCTGCGGGTGGGTGGGAGGGGGAGAGGGGCGGGCGCATGAATGCTGGCTCCTCAATGCTGAGCCGGGGGGAGGGGGGGGGCAGCTCCAGGCAAGCCAGGAGCCGAGGGCCTGAGGTTCCCCACCCCTGCTTTCCTGGGATAAGAAAATCCCGCTCCATCTAGTCAGGCACAAACAGGCGTTATGAGGAGCCACTTCTGAAGCAAAACTAACCCAGCTCTTTTGTCCCGCTGAGCGGTTTGATGATCTTGGTGGGGAGGGAGTCTGGTACCGTCCAGAGACGTTGTAGGGGGCTGTGCGCAATTCCCTGCGGCAGCGCGTTCCCCTGGTTTCTCCCGGCGCTGGCTGAAAGGCACCGCGGCGCGCGCCCTTCCCAGCGTTTCCGCACGAGGCGAAGGAAAGAAAGTTACCGCCGCGGGGGGAAGTTTCCCTTCCCCAACTCCACAGAGCGGTGACCGGCCCCCTTTGCGGCGGGCCGCCCGCCGCGGGGCGGGGC